CAGAGGCCTGTGCCTTTGTTTTATACCACTAGACTCTTAGAAGTCACTGTTTAGAATCTCTCAGGCTTGTATGAACCACGGGGTTAAGGTTTAGACTTCTTCCATGATCTTTGTCATGGAACATATTTATACCTCTAAAAATCGCCTTTAAACTTCCTGTTTCCTAATGGGCAGAAGCAGCCTCTCTGATCTCTTGTCTCAAGCTGTCTTCACCTTTGCCAGTGTGCTCCCTATGGTTGGCAATAACATTTGTCTGAAACACCACCCTCTTTGCAGCTGTCCGTGCCCCTGGGAAAGGGTTAAGCAGGTTCTGCTGATTCACTGAGGTAGGTGACTCATTACCCCACCCGGATAGAGGGGAAGTGGCTGTCTAGAGGGAGAGGATTCATACCATGTGAAATCAGAAGGGGACCATTGTGAACTTCGAGTTTGACTGAAAGAGCCGGAAAGGCTCTGTAGTTAAAATTCAGGATTATCAGCTCTACATCCAGGCGAGTTAAAAGCTGTCTGAGTGTCCAGGCTGTGCTTCTGGAGCGTGGGCAGAGGTGGGGTAGGAAGCCCTGAGGCAGGAGGCTTGAGGAGGAAGCCTACACTGGAATTTGCTGTCTTGGTAAAGCTGTGTCTGGGCTGCCCTTGAAAGCAGTGGAGGAAAGGCAGCAGCTCAGTTCCTTTTGGAAGTTTTTTTGTACCATATCAGATCCATGAATCACATTCCTGATGACTCTTGTACAGTTTTTAAAGTGGTGTCCAGCAAAACGCAGACTTCTTTAAAGTACACTTTGACATCTGAGAATATTTCCTTTTGGATGTTTGGTCCCTCATTTCATAATATTTATCTATACTAAATTTATTAACAAATGCAGAAGGAAATGAATTATTCATGCAATATCCTTTTGTACCTTAATGTTTCCCAGTGGAGTATCAACTGGTAATTTGAATATAACTTCTTTGTTATTGACAAAATCCTGGTTGTTGTGGAAACCACAGATTTTTGCCCTTAATCTTGAGCTGTTTCAGTTTGGTACATCTGTGCAGGTAATCCTCTTGAAAACCCCTTATATATTTACACGAAGATTCTACCCTTTCTGTACTGGTAGTCAGTCTAACCTTATAAGCACCAATATATACTTAAGCCCAAACAAATTTTATCTGTAAGTACACTAGTGCCCTGTCACCTGCCAAACAGTTGTTGTGTTTAAAGTATTTGTAACAGATTGATTTTTGTTCCTGTTTTTTTTGTGGCCAAATAAAAATTATCCTATTCATTAAATATATCTGCTATAGTTGGAGTCCTTGAATCAACTTCCAAGTGAGCTGCACCTGTCCATTACGAAAAACAATAGTGAGATTTGACGCATTGTTCCTTGGTTTATGGACATCCTGTGGGTAGTTTGCCTAAAGCTAGCTAGGTCAAGGCCACTGATTCTGTTGTTCCTGCCTCAGTGAGCCATTGGCTTGTGCTGACCTTTGATCTACGTCATTAATTTTAATTTCTAATGAAATAAAGGCCCTCTTCCAGGCTCCGACTATTTATGTAATTAATTTTATCAATAAAATAGAAAATGACTACTCCACCTTCTAATATAATTGTAGATGATGAATATTTGATAATAGCTATTCACTTCCTGTCACTTTGACCCTCTCCACATCCTGGGGGAAAAAATGGAGGAATCCAGCCACAGATCAAAAAATGAAGCCTAGTTTGGGAAAGGGTGTGAGAATTTCAGAGCTGAGGTCAGCAGTGAGAAGCACTAACAGGAAGAAGGCTAGAGATGCTAAAACAATTCCTGTCAATCTCTTTTCCAGAGCAATTAAAGGGATTATAACGGCTAATACAACAGTTACACTTTTGTTTTCGCCTCCTTTTTTTTTTTTGTAGTTTTGAGGAATCTGTGTTGTTAAAATTTGGCTGATGGTTGTGATCCTCTATTGCTGCTTTGAAAAAATTTGTTCTGCCATGGAAGTAGGAGTATTTTCCCTGAATCCTAACTGTGAACAAGTTCTTACAGAAGTATCCTTGTTAAGCATAATGAGCCTGTTGGCCTAGCTCTGTCTTTGAGCTGCAGAATCTTTCCTCTGTGTTTTCATATGTTATAACTAGAGATGAAATAAGGTAATTTTTATTTTTGCTTTGGGGTTATACGTTAGCTGTGTGCTGCGTTTCCTGACGTGGCCCAAATTCTGCCATCAAACGCAAACAAAGCAACCCCCCAAATACTCTGCTCCATTAACTAAAAGTGACTTAAGCCATAAATAATAAATGTACTTATAAAGAGCGGACAAATGGGTCTACGTCATTCATAGGTGCAATAAGCACCTGCTGTATTTGCTTCATGCACAGAATTATAAATGCAGAGATAATGTAAGGTTATGTCTGCAATAAAGTTACTTATTGATGTAGCAGTACAATAACCCATTGCTCCCTTCCTTGTTTCTGAGAGGACTTCTCTGTCCTTAGCTTTTTAAAAGTCTCTTTTACCTGTCCCGTGGAACAATGAGGAAGAGTATGCATTCCTGGGACTTGGTCATTTTTCCAGACATGGAGATACCTAGCCTCATTTCTGATACTGGAAGAAGTTCTCAGTCTGATATCTGTTGAAAACACTAGGGAAAATTATTTCTACGTTGCTAAACATCCTGTGCCTTTTGGAGGAGGGAGAACCTCACCATACTGTCTCCTTTCCTGACCCTTTGTTCCGTACAAACTTGAACTGCCTGTGCTGTTTATCTTAACTTCTCGTACAATCTTTCCTCCAGTTTCTTCTGTGAAAATACCCAAGTTAAAGACAATGGTTGAAACTGACAAAAACACAACCCTAGAAAAGCCCTTTTGATCAGAACTGTCCCCCAGCTCTGAGCTGCCAGGAAGTGATTTAGTGAAAAAAATATTAAATATCACAAATAATATTTTATAACAAAGGTTCTATGTAGTTTTGAACTTCCAAACAACTCAAATTTTACTGAGCAGCATGGGGCTTGAAGTATGGCTGGATAGTTGAACTATGATTATTGTGTCCTCCCCTTTTGAGAGGGAGTTCCTAAAACAGGAATTAGAGCAGCTGAGTGAAAACAGAAAGCAAACCAGGCTGAGTTGTTGGATTATGTACTGTGGTCTGCAAGAAGAACATTGTCAAAATGTTCTGTCATAAATGTCAAGTGTCTTTTTATATGAAAAGTTATTTGGTATATTTACCCTATCTGCTTCCTCCTCTTTGCCTTCCCTCTCATGTTCTCCCCACCCGCCCCAGGAATGATTCTCACCCCCCTGTATATTTAATGATTTAGCTGTTGAATTGAAGCACCAGTGTAGCTCTTAATTTACACAGGTAATTATTCTGCATGAACTAGGACTAGACTCGACTCTAATGTGTGCTGACAGCTGCCCTACTACTAACAGGCAGTTGAAACTTTTTTTCTGGAAAGCATGAGAGATTAACATTGCTTGTCTATAAGCTACTGTGAAATTTATCAGAATCCACTGTGGCTTGCACTGACACAACCACGCCAGCGCTCAGCTGTTACTATGGGTGTGTTTGAACAATTGTGAACTTAGCCCCGGTACTTACCTACTTGCTTCAGATTCAATCGTACGCTTGAACCTCGTCAAGAAGTCTGTTTGCCATTCCAGGTGTCGTGCACCAGAGCTGGTTTGAAAACAGGTGCTCGGGGGCGGATTTTGGTGCTTCTGTACCTGGCCTGAACAAAAGTGAAGAGGTAAATGAAACCAGGAAAAGAAATAAAGATAAGAGTAATACAGAGTGTCTGCTGTGCTCTAACTGAAGCCTAGCAGAATTACAAGGTCACTTCTGCATCTAGCACTGTGTTAATTCATTAAAGATTTAAAATCTAAATCAGAATCACTAACAGGGCAAGATTTCTATGTGGGCATCGTTAGCCATATTGCAAATGTCTTTAACGTATTTAGTAACATGCTATGTGCATGCTCGTCTTTTAGTTAAAAACTCAGAGGCCTGGCACGAAGCACACTAAAACCTGAAGGAAAACTATGAGATTTGTCCACTTGTCAAGGAAAAAGTCCTTGAGACTGATTTTTAAATTTTTATTCTTGGCATACCTATTTAATATTTAATTATTTCCATAGAACAGGGTGACGTGGGGGGGAGGAATGGCAAGAATTCTAAAAGCTCTCCCTACCATTCAGTGAAAAGCTAACAGAGGCAGAAGAAAGAAAGCTCAGTGGTACAACATAATCCTGTACTCTTTTACAAGCATCCAGTCTGTGCCCCCACAGGCTCTTGCAATCTCTTCCTCCTGTCAGGCTGGTGCAGCCGAGTGTTTGTTTGCAGGCTGCAGCTTCACAGGGGCACCACCTTGTGGTCCTGGTAAAATTTGTGCAAAAAAGAGCCCATTTCTGAAATCGACTTGGGAAATTATACACTCTATTGCATTTATTATATTATATTACAGGCTCTTACATCTGATATCTACCAGCAATTCTCCTCCCAAATCTGTTTAAATAAGTAACAAATTAATTAAAAAAAACCTACCTGCTTCTAACTTATAGGAAGAGGAGCAAGAGTTGTAGTTTTGCCTAAACCTATGGTTTGCCTGTAACAAATAGCCAAGACCTCTGATGTGCTATAGAGATTTTTTGTTTTCCAATTGGTAGGTAACACCATTTGAAAACACGGCACAGTGAAATGGCCAGAAAAGCATGTAATTCATTATAATCTCTAATATAACTTGAGGATGACAGGAAAATGAAGAACCCTTCACGCCTTTTTTAAAAGATGGTTCAAAACTTCCGCTATTTTGTCAAGGTTAAGGTCCTTAAAATAGAATTTAGGTCTTACTTTGCTTTAAAGGAATACACGGCAGACTATTGTCTCTCGAATGACACCCAAATGGAGTTTGGATTAATAAATCTGATACTGCATTTTTATACATTGAAGCATTCTAGGGCAAAGTGTTATCATGAAAAATTGAAATTGGAGGATCAGGAATGATGCCTTACACTGTAGTCAAGCACCCATTTAATTTTTATCACACATTAGTTCACGACAGTTTAGATGCTGAGAGTTTAGCCTGGAGAAAAATCCTTCTGTATGGATATTTTTCATAAAGAATGTCTAAGTGCCAAAAATGACGTTCAAAGGCTTAGCTACAGCACATAGCAAGTGTACTGAAAAATAGCTATTTATTAAATATATTAAATATGAATAATACCTGCCCATATGAATACATTCAGTTCTGATTCAGTTCTTACTATTCTAACACACACACACTGCTTACAAGACTGAAAAACAGCTACAGTCCAGTAATTTATATAGTTCAGGAAGTTGATGGAAGGTTTTCCAGCGCTGGGTTCTTTCAGGAAAGCTCTATTTCAGATGATTTAAAAAAAAAAAATCAAAGGATGGTGTAACTGGAGATAACTTGTTCCAGAGCTGTGAAGCTGTCCAGGAAATCTTCCTCTTCGATTCCGAATTTAGTGTACTGGTGAATATAGGCTCTGTGTGTTGAAGTCACAGCAGGAAAACGGATAAGACATTAGAAATCAGTGAAGAATCTGACACATGAAATCAGATCATACAGTCATTGTAAACACTTCAAATTAAGACTGGTTTCCACCCAATCACCATGCTGGTTAGTTTTGACCGTGTTCTCTTGAACTCATTTTGTAATTCATACTTATTGATAAGTCATTACTTGTTTCTAATAGCTTTTATAACTTTTTGTACTGCTTAAAGAAACAAAATTGCAGCTAACATAATTGGGCTAACTGGGAAATGGAAGGAAAAGTGATTATTAAATGAGAAAATTTATACATTTGAGATGCAAAGCCTAAACCTGTGTGTGCATGATAGCTTGCTTCTCAACACTGGTGTTTTTGGAACAGGTGGTAAACCTAGGAGCCCAGCTAGTGGCAGCAGTTTTCCTCTTTTGGCTTTTAATTGCAGAATTCCTGTGCTAGAAACTCATGTTTAGCAGACATCTGCAGTGACATGCAGTAACCTTGGCTTCACAGTGTTCAAAGTAGAGGCAATTATTTTCTAGATTTCTTGGTTCTAATGAAAAATCAAACTAATAGCATGGGAGCCTTAGTAAACACACAAATCCCCTAAATGCTTCTGAACTGAGCCAGGAACTTTTTTCCTGGACTGTGCAGCACGTATGTACACACTTTAGAAACTATATGATCAGTAAAAGAGTTTCTATGTGTTATTTTTAGAATGGTCACATTGGAACGCACTAAATTTGGGGAGTTTTAGAAAATAGTCAAATTGACAGCACTAGAATATGTGTTCTCACTTATCCACAGAACATATGCACTGTTCTGTGTTCCTCACCCTGCCATCATGTTTCAAGCATAAAAATGTTTCCACTAAAGCGTAGGAAGAGTCTTCAAGCTTATTCATCATTACTTTACTTTGCTGAAAGAGCGAGCTGTATTTACAATGATTTTGCTAACACTGAAGATACCGGCAGTTATAAATGAAGTATCAGCATAATTATTTTCACTTACTTGGAAGCAAACATATTCCAAGCTTTT